GGGCTCCCCACCCCTCCCCGGCCCCGCTTTGGCACGCTCCCAGCAGGCTCGTGGGAGCTGGAATTCGGAGCCGTCCCTGGCGTGTGCGCACTGCCTCCCGCCTGCCGGGGCGCCTCCCCTGACTAGGGGCCAGGAATTCCTCCCGCTTGCTCCCAACAAGCCCCTGGGGAAGGAGGAGCTGTGGGAAGGGGCAGGGAACATACTGGAAGTCGGGACTGAGTGGGGGGCTGGGAGGCAGTCCCGGCCTACAGACACCCAAGGTGGGACAGGCAGGGGGGCGGAGAGGAGGGATGTGGGTGAGTTGTGACCACATCCTCCGACCTTGCCTGCAGTCCCATCATGTGCGCCAATGACGGCAGTTGTTAAGTCGTCCTCTGCCCTTATATAGATTTGTTCACTGGTTCAGATGTTTCCTGAGCACCTACTAGGTGCCAGGCATCCCGTGAGGTGCGGGGGACACAGCCACGAGTGGGGCAGAGACAAATATCACCCACACGGGGCTTCTGTTCCGTGCAAGGACAGCTGATAAACACAGAGGCCATCTGCATTGGGCTCCTGTGAGCCCCTGGGGGCATGGGCCACCCGGCCTTGCAGGCTCTGGGTGTCTCTCCCAAGCATAGCCCTCTTCCACTGCTCGGGCCTCCCCTCCGGCCCTCATCCAACCGGGTACCCGGGACCATGGCCCTTGGCTGGGCACAGCGTCCCAGGGAGCACAGTCAGAGGGCGGAGCGCCGTGCTGGGTTCCTCCCAGGATTTGTTCTTCACTTGCTGCGTAACCTTGGGCGAGGTGCTGCCCTCTCTGGGCCTCAGTTTCCCTTGCAAAATGTGGCACTGGGACCAGCGGTAATGGGCACCTTCCCCACCCCAACGGCCTCTCGCTCTGGTTTTCAAGGCACACGGGGGCCTGCCATCTGCCAGGGGGCTTTGGCCGCTGATGGGGGTTGCCCCAGGGTGGGTGGCGCACTTCCAGCTGCCTACCTGGCCCCGCTTCAGCTTGCCTGGTCCTCCAGCTGTGCAGCCCAGAGCAGTGATGTCACTGCTGGGGAGACGGTGACTTCAGGTGGGGGTTACCCTGCCCCGGGCTCGTCTGGCCTGGTGCCAGATCTGCTTCCCACGGGGAGGCTTCACGGATCACCCTGGCGCTCTGCTCACCCCCCCAGCCAACCTGGACCCTCACCATGGTCTAGACCCTCATTTGGATTGAGCCGGGTCTCTCCAAGCCAATCTGGTCCAGGCGGAGGGCCGGGCAGGGGCCTCCTCGGCAGAGGAAGGATTTGTGGCTCAAGCCTAACCAGCTGTGTGACCTTGGACACGTTACTGTCTCGTGCTGGGCCTCAACTCCTCTCCTGAAATACGGGTCAGTTTCCAAACAAGGTCCTCCAGGGGCCCCCCAGTGGAGAGCAGGTGGGAGGCCTGACCCAGCGCAAGGTGGCCCTGACTCTGAGGCAGTGAGAGATGATTCCGTCAGTAACACGGGCAATTCAAACATCCCCCTACTCTCCAGCTTTAATGGCACCAACAAGCTAATGTTGCCTTTCGTAACCACCTCAGTCCTGTGCCGGCTGCCTCTTCCATGGCCCCAAAGAAAACACTGGATGCCCCCTAACTGCTCCTCCCCGGCCTCTCCAGCCCTGGAAATGGTGTCACTGTTCACCCAGTTTCTTAAGCTAAAAACCCACGGGGTGTCCCTGGCGGCCCACAGCGACACGGACGAATCTCGCGTCGGGAGCAAAAGTCTACCCACGTCTTGCAAAGGAGCTTGTGTTGTGACTCCGTATATACGCGAGGGTCAAGAAGGGGTGGAACAGGAGGGTGGTTCCCCTTGGAGGTGGGGTGGGTGGGTACTGGCCCCGAAGGAGAAGAAGGGAGCTTCTGGGTCCAGAAATGATCTGGGTCTCCATCTGGGAGCCAATCTTACGGGTATGTTGAGATCTCAAAAAATCTAATCATCAGTCTTGATTCGTCTACCTTCCACGGCGGGGGACAAAGATCCCAACGGCCATGCGCATTCCAGTCGACAGGGGCGGCGTGGGGGGCAGCCGGTAAGCAAGCAAAACAGGCAAATATGTTGTAGATCGAAGCGCAGGAGGAGGTAGGAAAGGAAGTAAAAGGATAAGGCCAGGGAGGTGAGCCCCAGAGCAAGCGAGGGAAGGAGCCACGAGGCTCTTGCCCTGTGTCCCAGGGAGGGACGGCACGTCCCAATGCTCTCAGGAGAGAAATCAGGACACATATACGGATATGTACTGTTGTGGGTTAGAAGAGGTCGCTGTGAGCACTCGTGAGAAACAGAAACCAGAAAACGGGGTTTGGAAGCTGTCGTTTTAGGGGTCGGTATCGAAAGTTGACACGCTGAGGGGTTGCTCTTTCAGGATAGCGTAGCCCTGGGTTGTTTTGTTTGTTTTTGTTTTTTTGTTTTGCCATCTGAGCCCTTATCTACCCCATCTGCGCCCGCGGGTCTCTCTGGAACACGCTCGCCCTGCATCCCAGCTCCCAGCGGCCTCACCCGGACCTCGGCCTGAGTACCCGGATGAGCGAACAGACTTTGACAGCCGGCCCTGCCTTTGTGGGCCGGGAACACACCCTCGCTGCGGGGATTTGTTTGGACGCCGCGTTGCCCCTGGGTGTTCTCCCCGTGCCGCCCACCAGGCCTGCTCTGTGCCGGGCTGTTCCCTGCAGGAGGTGGAGAGCGTGGGCTGGGACTCATGGCCTGGCCTCATCTCAGTTGCTCCTCCCTGGGTGGCCTTGGCAGGCTCCTTCCTTCCTGCGTTGGCTTCCTGGACTGTAAAATGGGGATATTCACACCCAGGCAGGGGTCTGGCCCAGGGGGGGCGAGCTGGGATGTCCAGTGGCTCCCTGGGTATAAGGGTGCGGAAGAGGAGTTCTTACGGTGGGGGTGGTGTCCAGGGATTTGGAGTTTGGCCTGTGTGACTTGGGGCAGGTGGCCTTCCCTCTCTGATCACTGCTCGGCTCCAAGATAACTGGCATGGCGGCGCTTTGGGGCTGGGGACTGGGATGGGGCGCTCTGGCTCGTGGAGCCCCACCTGGCGATAGGAGGGTGTGGAGCGGTGTCGGAGGCCGGGGGCAGCTGCAGCTCAAAGTGTCTGGGGCAGACAATGGGCACTGTGTGCAGGGGGGAGCCGGGCGGGGCGGTGTGGGTGGCACAGTGGCACCCCAGCAGGAATGTGCTGGCCTGTCTGGGAATGGGAGCGCATCGCTTCCCTCGTGGCCTGCCCCCCCCGCCCCCCCCCCCCCCCACCGTGGCCTCGCGCCCACCCTGCCGCACGTGGTTCAGAGCCCGGGATGGCCGAGGGAGGCAGTGGCAGATTAGGAATTTCTGGGTCCCTGCAAGCCTGAGCAACCTCCCGGGTCTTGGAAGAATGATGGGGGCGGGCGCACGGAGCTTCCCCAAGCCGCTGGCTTTGCCGGGTGGCCTTGGGCAGGTCCCTGCCTCCGTCGAGGCCTCAGCATCCCCATCTGTGTAAATGGTCTCTGGTGGCCCCGTAGGGACTTCCTTGGGTGACAACATCTCTCGTGGCCCGATCACCTCCCTCACTCTGCCCCACTCCTCTTCCACGGGGTGGGGACTTGGTCTGGTCTCGCCAACCGCCCGGTCCCTTGGCCCAGAACATAGCCTGGCCTTGGCTATGCTCAGTAAGCGTTTGCCGGATGAAGGCATTTTCATTATTATTTGCATCATTTTCTCCTTGCTGGCCCCAGGTCCTTTCTCTGCCCTTCTCATCCTGTCCATTGGCCGCCCCGCCCGGAGGGTTTTCGGGCTTCCCTCTCAGCGGCACTTGGGGGTTCAGCCAATGGGAGGCACCGGAAGAGGGGGGGGACAAGTGAGGAGGGGTATTTCTCCCCTGCTCTCCTCCTTGGTCCAGCCAGGGATGCTGGAGCTCCTGTGTGTGTGGCCTTCCTCCCTGCCTGTCCTCTCACTGGCTTTTCCCTCAGGAGCTCTGGGGACGCTCCCAGCAACGCCACTGTGTCTCTGCCCAGCTCAGCTGTCCAGCTCAGGGCGGCCTTTGTGCAAGGTTGTTTCTTCGAAAGCCCCTCATATCTGCTTCCTGCCAGGGCGCTGCCGCGGGCGCTCATTTTATCCTAGCCACTGGGCCAGCGGCCAGGTGGCTTCCGTGATCCCCATCTTACAGATGAGAAAACTGAGGCCCGGAGAGGCGCTGTGAGTGACTCTAAGCCTTCTGGCCGGAGAGTATCAGATTCTGAGCCCAGGTCTCTGTGACTCTGGTGCCTGGGGCCTTCGGTCCTGGGCCACACTTGATTTTCAGCTTTTCTGACAGTCGAAGCATTAAAAGCTTACGATGCTCAGGTAGAAGGCCCGGCAAGTAATAAAGTGATCAGTCCTGTTCCCTAACTCACTCTGGCCAGGCCCCGGGCCCTGGGCCGGTGGCTTGTTAGAGGCACTCCTCCACTGCTCCCCGTGGCAGAGCTGTGGGGAAAGGAGGCCTCGTGGGCCAGGGGACGGCTCTGCTAAGGCCTGCGGTCGGGGCAGAGAGAGTGGGGGGCGGGGAGGGTGCTGGACCGTCTCCATCTGTCGGCGGGCCTTCTCTGGCGGTGCGGCCAGGAGAGAAGACAGCCCCTCCCCGGGGACCTCCCCGACCGGCCGGCGAGCCCAGGGTCCAGACAGCCTCGTGAACTCCCGAGGTGGCCACTGGATGACTTCATGGGCCTTTCCCACTCCTGAGTCACCACAACTCACTCGCTGACCCCTTGGGCACCTTTGGAGGGAGGAGAGTGGGCGGCGGGGCTGGTGGGCAGGGCAGGGCCCTGTTACCTAACAGTGCAGGGGGGCGGTGGGGGAAAGCAGGCTGTGATATTACCTCTGCTGTGCGAATTAGGGGGCCTCTCTGCCCCTCTCTGGGCCTCAGGGACAACATCACCCCCTCTGGGGGGGGGGTGCACCGAAGCCCCCCATTCCAGCTTGGGCCTGCTAGAACTGGCCAGCTTGGGGCTGTGGATGTAGCTGTCCCAGAGTGAAGGGAGGAAAGCGTCCCTGTCTGTTTCTTCCCTGCCCTGCCCCCAACGCAGGTGTGAATCAGCCCAGGTGAGGAAACTGACTCACCTTCCCACCTGGGCCTGGAGAAAGGGCCACTTTCCCTTCCCCGGGGTTGGAATCAAACTTGAACTTGACTGTTAACTTCCAGAAGAGAGTGACTCTGACGCGTTGGCGGCGGGTGGGGGCGGCTACAATGCAAAGACTTGGGGATGTCAGGTCCTTGGAGGAAGACACCAAGTGCCGGGCTCATGGCATCCACTTGGCAGACATGACCTTAGAAGATCCTCGAGCCACCTGTCGGTAAGTACCCTCAGTTAGGGAGGCCGAGGCCCAGTGTGGGGGGTCACTCACCTAAGGTCACGCTGCCCGGGTAAGTGCCTGTGGACGGAGATCTGACCCAAGCCTGGGATTTTCGTTTTTGGAGGAACCTTCTTCCCCATCTTACACCCCCCAGCCCGACGCTGTGAGTTCGCCCCCCGCCCCGCCTTAGAGACCAGGGGAGGCTGGGAGGGGCCGAGGCAGGGGAAGCTGGGGGTTCGCACCCCCCACCTGTGTCACGGGGTCCAGGGGCCGCCAGGGAAACGGTGGACCCCTCCTCTGTGCCCCCATCACGGGTTAAGTCTTTCCCCCCAACATTCTGCTGTTGTTAATCGTTAAGCGGCCTGATGATTAATTAATTACCAAGACCCACGGGGGCTCGCTTGAGTGCACCTGGTGCCGGTGACCAGGGTGCCCTCTCCCCGGCGCCCTGTTCCCCAGCCACCAGCGTGCCCAGAGAGACACATGGGTGAGGGCCACGAGACTCAGACGCAGACGGGGGCAGCACTGTCACCACTGTGGGCAAACCCTGCTCTGTCCTGGGCCCTGGTCACAGCACGGCCCGCGGCTGGCAGGGGACGGGGCGACAGGCAGAGCGAGAGCCGCCAGAGGAAGGATGACAGAGCCCAAGAGGCCAGACAGGGCGAGGAGGGCTGCTGGGGCCTCCTCCTAGCCTCGCTTCCATGGGGTCTGTTTGAATTCCACAGGGCACACCGGGAGCGGCCCGAATCTTTGCGTCCTCGCCGCAAGGCTCCGAGGACCGTCTGAACCAGTGTGGGTTCTGACTCCTCTACCCCTTCGCCAGCCCGAGCCTCGGTTTCCCTCATCTGCCTGCCTGTCCTGCCTGCCTCCCAGGGTGAACTGAGCTGAAGGATTCTCTAGTGGAAACACTGGGGGCAGCTGGTGGGTGTGGAGGAGACTTGGGGGCAGGGTTCTTGCCGAGAAGCAGTAGGACAGGGCACAGGACTCCTAACTCAGGGAGTGACTTTGGCCAAATCCTTTCTTCTCTCTCAGCCTCAGTTTCCCCATCTATAAAACAATACGGCCTCAGCGAATGCCCAGGACCTTGGGGGGACCTCTAATGGGTGAGTGGGTCATTGGCGCCATGAAGATCCCCCTTCCCACTGCCCCCCCTTCCCCCTGTCCCCACCACGCCCCAGGGCGTGCACCTCACCACCCCCTCAGGAGGTGCTGGGCTGTGAATGTCAGCAGGCCCTCTCTCCATGGACCTCGCGAAGGCACATTATCTAGAGCTCTTAGGACCCCAGGTCACTTCCAGCCGGGTCTGCCAGGCCGTGTAGGAGAATCTCCAGCCTTGCCCGTGGTGACCATTTTTACCTCATGTCTGAGGGGCCTGGCCTCCCAGACAGCCTGAGACACTGACTCTGGGGAGGCAGGGGTCTCTGAATACTTGCGGTCATCTGGGGTTTTAGAATTTTTGAAAATTAAAAGGAAACAACACAGATAATACAGAAATCCATAAACACACTCTCATCATAGGAGGGCATATATTCAGGGTGCCTGGGTGGCTTCGTCGGTTGAGCGTCCGGCTTCGGCTCAGGTCACGATCTCACGGCTTGTGGGTTCGAGCCCCACGTCGGGCTCTGTGCTGACAGCTCGGAGCCTGGAGCCTGTTTCAGATTCTGTGTCTTCCTCTCTCTCTGCCCCTCCCCCGCTCGCACTCTCTCTCTGAAAACAAATAAACATTAAAAAAAAAAAAAAAAAGGAAGACATATATTTGCCTTCCCACCCGGTCAGGGTTAAATAGAGTCCCCCCTCCCCACCCTCAATTCATGTCCACCCAGAACCTCAGAAGGTGACCTTGTTTGGAATGAAGTTTTCTGCAGATGTAATTAGAAAAAGGATTTCAAATTAAGATCATAGTGGGACTCGGTGGGTCCTAAATCCACCAAGAGTGTCTTTACACGAGAAAGGAGAGGAATAGTTGAAAATAGAGACACAGGGGCAAAGGGGTCACTTGAGACAGAGGCAGAGACCAGGGGGGGGACCAGCCACAAATCACACCGCCCAGAGCCACCAGAAGCTGGAAGAGGCAGCAAGGATTATCCCTTGGAGCCTTTGGAGGGAGTGTGGCCTTGGTGACACCTTGATTTCAGACTTCTGGCCTCCAGGACAAAGAGAATAAATATTTGTCTGTTGTTTTAGGCCACCCAGTTTGTGATGATCTGTTTCGGCAGCCGCAAGATACATACCCGGGTCCCAGGGCCCTCCCCTGTCTGTTGTCCGTCCCCCTGGAGCTTCTCTCTGCTCTCCACACACGTCAGAATCTTATACAGGGATTATGCTTTAAAAATTATTTTTAAATGTTTAGTTTTGAGAGAGAGAGAGGGAGGGAGGGAGGGAGACAGAGCATGAGTGGGGGAGGGGCAGAGAGAGAAAATGAGGCACAGAATCTGAAGCAGGCTCCAGGCTCCGAGCTGTCAACACAGAGCCCAACGCGGGGCTCGAACTCACAAACTGTGAGATCATGACCTGGGCCGAAGTCAGGCACTCAACTGACTGAGCCACCCAGGCGCCCCGAGATTGTGCTTTGAAAACTCAAAGGGGTTCACGCTCCGCAGAACATTCGTGAATGGCTCTCACCCACCCATCCACGCGCGTATCAGGAGAGGGTCCAGATTCTCTCTCTACAGCTGACTTCCTCCTTTCCACTAGTCCACGTGTGACTCTGCCGTCCTTCATTCGACGAGCCCTCGCTGATGGACATAAGGTCGTTTCCAGCTTTTCTCCATCAGACACAATGCCACGACGAACGTCTTTGCCCTGTCCCTTTGGCACCTGCTGGGTGGTTCCTAGAGCGTAGAAGTTGCCTTAGGAGAGTTACTGGGTCAAAAGGTAAGCTCGTTTACAGTTTGATTGGTTTCATCAGATCGAGTCAACATGTATTAGACATGTAGACTATTCGGGCACCTGGGCAGCTCAGTTGGTTGAGCATCCGACTTCAGCTCAGGTCATGATCTCACGGTTCGTGAGTTCGAGCCCCCGCTCGAAGTCGGGCTCACTGCTGTCAGTGCAGAGCCCGCTTTAGAGCCTCTGTTTCCCTTTCTCTCTGCTCCTCCCCACTCACACTTGCTCTCTCTCTCTTAAAAAAAAATATGTAGACTCTTGAGAAGGAGAGAAGCATGGAAATAGGCTTTTGGATTTTATAGTGTTGGATATTCCCAAACCCGGAATCAGATGACTGGAAGGCATTGGGAGAGGATCCTGGAAAGGACATCTGTGCTGGGGTCTCACTCAGGGGGAGCCTTGAGTAACCTGTCCCAAGCCCTCTGTGGGTTTCTGTCCCCTGGGGTAGGAGAAAGCAGAGGAGATGGGACCGGGGCCCCCTCTGTGCAGCTATAGCCCCCTACCACCCCCACCACAATGTGGGTCCCGCTGTGTAGTCACGGCCTGTTTATAGCTCCCAGTCTGGGAGTTCCTCGAGGGCATCAGTAGACGGGCCAGCAAGTGGTTGAAGTGTCCAAAGTATGTGTGCACACCTGTGGGGGCTGCGGGGGGGCTTCTGCAGTTGAATACAGCCTGGGTGTGCACTTGGGTGGGTCCTGGGTACAGCCTTCAGTGTTTTGGCAGGCCCGTGCGATGTGCGTGTGTGCGTATCTGTGTGCACGTGAATGCTTGTGTGCGTGTCTGTAGGTAAACGTGGGCATGTCCCTGTGCGAGTGCAGGGCTGCATACCCGTGTACCCGCCTCTGTGGGTGCGCATGGTCATTTGCACACACTCATGTATTTGCACGAGTGCCGTGTGCGTGGGTGTGTCCGTGTATGCGTGCGCGCGCACGCCGTGTGCATGGGTGCGTCCGTGCATGCGTGCGGGTGCACACGGTGTGCACGGGTGCTTCCGTGCATGCGTGCGTCCGTGCATGCGTGCGCGCGCACGCCGTGTGCATGGGTGTGTCCGTGCATGGGTGCGTCTGTGCATGCGTGCGCGTGCGTTGCTTCCGGGGGCAGGTTGCTGCCTCCTTGTAGCAGCTGCTACATGTCACTATTCCTCATTTGAGAACTAAAAATAGCCCATGCCCAGCTCTGTCCCAGCGGGCAGGGGGCCGCCGGGCAGCCCCACAGGGCACCCTGGCCAGGCTCTTGCCCTCCTCCCTTCTCGGGCCACCGTCCTCCTTGCCTGTCCCGGCCGCGGGCTCCCATGAGCTCCTGCAGGCCCTGATCAGCCAGGGCAGGGAGGGGGTGGGGAGGTGCCGAGGCCCTGCCCATGTCCAGGCGGCTGGACTCGAGCAAGGCCTGATAAGGTCAAGCATGGAGTGGGGTCCGCCCCCTCGCTCCAGCCAGGGCCAGCCGGACGGACATGAGTCAGCACAGGGGGCATCGGGCAGCGCAGGCCTGACCACTGGCTGGTGGCAGGGAAGGCCTGGGGGTGGGCTCTCCCCCCTGGGCAGGGCAGGAACTAGCCAGGAGGAATCACCTGCTGGCGTCGGCCGAGCCCTGACCTCATTCTCCATCTTGAGGAACGCCGCCTTCTCTTCCACCCAGAAAGCCCCTCTCCCAGGCCCCCGGTGGGCTCCCTGGCCTGGCCTGGCCATACCCCTTAGCATTCAGAGTGCTGACGCCCACCCTGCAGAAGGGCGCTTCCTGGATTAGCTGCACTGCCCTAGGGCCTTGCATACACCCCCTCCTTGGGGAAGTCCTTGCTGACCCGCAGGCTGTGCTGGGGCATCTTCTGAGCGCCAGCTCCCTCCCTGGGAGCCCCTCACTCTCAGCAGCGAAGAGTATCTTCTCCCTCCCTGTGTTCACATCGGGTCCCTCAATGCTTCTCCATCACAGCCTGGGAGGTGTCACTCTGTCCTCTTCTACAGCGGACGAAGCCAAGGCCCCACTGGGGTGGGATGTGACTGGCCCCAAGTCCTCATTTGCTGTGTGACTTTAGGCTAATGGCCTAACCTCTCTGGTTTCCTTATCAGAGGGGTCAACGGGGCACTAATCTCCTCCTGGTGATGCTGTGTGCTGTGTAAGGGGACGGACGCTGTGAATTCGCGAGGCCTACTGCAAATCCCACCTTGGGCAGGACTTACCGGGGGATCCCCAGGCACAGGCTCTACTGGGGGCTGTGCAGCCCCCAGCTGGACCAGAGGTTCAGGGGTGGAAATGATTCTAGCTGGAACCCAGGTGGTCTTTGGCCCTGGGGTTGAGCCATTCCCGGAAGTAAGCCAGCAGCTGCTCTGAGCCCAGCTGGATGGATGGGAGCGGGAGGATGTGGATGGGGGGCCCCGGAACTGCCCCACCAGCTCTTGGGAAGAACATGGAGAAAGTGCCTTTGGCCTGGGGCCTGGGTCGGGTGGTGACAGACCCCGGGCTTGGATCTTCCACTGAGAAAGGGGCAGATGTGGAGGAGGAGCAAGGACACCCTGAGACCTGGCCCCGGTGCTCTGAGCCAGCTTCCCTACTTCCTAGTTGTGTGACTCAGTTTCCTCATCTGCAAAACGCGGTTAGAACTGCCTCACCTCGCAAAGTTGTTGTGAGGACTGAGTGGCTCGTGCGCCCAGGGGCGTGGCACACAGGAGGCCTCACCTGGGGCATCTCCCCTCCCGCACCCTCTCTAGCTCCCAGGCACCTGCAAATCCCCCCCTCGTTCCCAGGCTCAGAGAATGACACAAAGGGGGGAAAGAAGGGACAATTAAAACAAACAAAACCCCTATATACTTGCTAACAGGCTCACAATCAAGATACATCAAAGAGTGTGGAGTGAAACGTCCCCCCCCCCCACCTCTTCAGTCCGTTTCTGGAGGATTGTCCCAGAGATGGCCTAGGCAGAAACACTCAAATATAGATTTCCTTTTTTCTCTACACCTTCAGCACACGTCCGCACCTTGGAGAGCGACCCACATCGACACACACAGGGCTTCCTCACCCTTTCCCATGGCTGAGGTGTGTGGCGTCCCACGGCTTCTTTAAGGAGACCGCGGGCGGAAGTGTAATTTATTTATTTGGAAAAGCAAGGGAAGGGCTTAACGAGAGCGTCCTTCCTCGCATCTGCGGCGGCTTTGCGTCTGGACGCCGCCACGTGCCACGTGGGGGGCCTCGCGACTTGCTGCTTGTCTCCCAGCCCCAGGTTTCTTGCCCGGAAGAGGGTCATTGTATCCGGGCCCCAAGACGCTTTGCTAACTGGTAGCCCGCGGGCTGCCTGTACCCTGCTCCTGGATGCGTTTTGCTCCCCCCCGAGTTTTCCAACATCTGGAGAGTTCACGGTGAAACCCCGCCTTTGGAAAATTCACGTCTGGCAAGAGGCGGCTCACAGCCCTTTGGACGGCGCAAGGGTACTCCGCTTGGCCACAGGCCCCACCATGCCGCAGTGACCATTTGAATGTGCTCCTGCCTGATCTTATCGGCCTCGTCCTCAGGGGGCTCTCGGGCTGCTGGCGTTAAGACTTGGGCAAGCATAATGGGGGCTTTGTGACCTCCCCAGGGTCAGGGTCCCCAGCACCCTGCCCGGGGCCCAGCTTCACCCTCCAAAGTGTCTGGGATTCGGTGGCCGGAGCCACGGCTCGTGCAGACCTGGGGCCCCGAGCAGGAGGCTCCAGAGAGTCTCCCCTCCCAGAAGGGAAGAGGGAGTGCTGGCACCACGTCTGGGAAGGGCTCCGGGCTCTGAGCCAGGCAGCTGCGTCCCAAGAGGCAGTGGCTAAGTCTTCTTCCCTAGGCTGGAGCCGGAAGCTAGTCCACAGGCACCTGGAGTTTCCATCTCCTGGTCCCCAGGATGCGAATTCCTGCTCACCACCCCCCACGCCTTCCTCTTCCTCACCTACATTTGGCAGCCGCATCCTGTAGGTTGGGCCAGGCCTAAAGGGGAGGCAGGACGTGGGTGGGTTCCCAGGGGAACCTCAGTGGCATCCTTTCTCCAGGGCGGTGGAAATCTCTTCTTGGCCCCCGGGGTGCCTTGAAACGCAGTTTGAAAACCACTGATGGAACCCTTTTGACAGATGGCAAACAGAGGCCTGGAGTGAGGAAGGGTGGGAGGGTCAGACCTTGGGGACCCTTGCGGTCCTCCCCCCCCAGCCCCCCCCATCTACAACAGAGCCTGGCATTCATTCATTCATTTATTTACAATAGGCTCCTGGCCCAGTGTGGAGCCCAACACGAGGCTTGAACTCGCGGCCCTGGGATCAAGGTAGGAGCTGAGATCAAGAGTCAGACCCTGAACCGGCTGAGCCACCTTGGCGCCCCCTCCTTTTAGATTGTCCCGGAAAGAAACCCAATATTCCCCCAGCAGTCACTCCTCATTACCCTTTCCCCAGGCCCCAGAGCTACAGGCATACCCTGAGTGGATGTGTCTTCTCCTCTGGACGTTTCGCATAAATGAAACCATACGGAGCACGTGGCCTTGGCGACCGGCTTCGTTCGCGGAGCGTCATGTTGTTCGTGGCGCACATCGTGACTCACGAATCACGGTGTTCGTCTTTCTTTCATGTACGTTTTTGGAGCAGTGTCTGTTCCAGGGCATGGGCGACGGTGGGGATGAGGAGGTATTAGGAGCCCCGCCCTGGGGCTACAGGAGCACAGAACTGAGCCCTGAGTTCCACTTCTGTCTGCCTCTGTTTCATTCTGTGACCTTGGAAAAGACACGTCCTGCTCTGGGCCTCAGTTTCCCTAGCTAACGTTCATTCTGCTGTGAGAGCCAGAGCCGGTGCTACAGGTGACTTCACTGAAAGCCAAGATGAGGGGCTTGGAGCTTCCACACCCCCCTCCTCCCCCTCCGGGGGTGGCTCACCTCCAGTCACTGGGCTGCAAGGGCTCTCCGTGCACAGGGGCCTCTCCGTGTCCTGGGTCTCACGCCAGCCCGCGCTCTTAGGCATCAAATGCCGGGAAGCGTGGGTCTGCGGGAAGGCCTTGCTCGGGCTGGTGGTGAGCGGAGAGCAGGTGGTCAGTCCCTGGGCTGCCAGCCCGTGGGAAGCAGCACATTTGTCTCTTGGCTGAGCGCTCCTCTCCGCTGTCCACCTGTTGCTTCCACCTGGGGGCGGGGGTGACGCAGG